TTTCGGAACCGTTGTTGGTCGAGAAAGCTCATAGGGATTTTCCGATGTGGTTCCCCCTTGTCAGTGGTGCAGGACAGGGGGACTGGCAAGGGACAACGTATAGTCAAAAAACCGAGGCCCCGTGTACGCATTGGCGTGCATGTAAAGGATCCCTTGAATAGTTTGCTAGAATGGCAATCAATGATGCCGGGTTTAATGTTAATAAATCGTTGATGCGCATGTTCCGCAAAATTTCTTAGCACCAGAGTTGAAAAGTTCGCCCTCCCTCTGCCCCCCCCCCTCCCTCCTAAATATTGGAGTTTCCCCTATCCTCGAATCCCTCCTAACTAACGATATAAGTATTGGGGTTGTGTCCATAGGGATTTTTGTTTCTCAAGCAGAATCAACGGTCACCACAGACACAGACCACTGATTTTTATTATAATACCTCACAGATATGTTGAATATATATTCATATATACTGGTTATAATACATAAAATAACAAGCAATTTAAATATCTGCTTAGCTAGAATGCTTTTAAAATTGGCTGATTTTCCTTATCTCAATTTAATTTATTCAAACTAAATATTGCACTTGATAAACGGGTCATGTCAAACATTTATAAAATTCATCTTCTCAAACCAAGCAGAATGCTTTATAATTCTGTATGACTGCCTGTGATTAACCATTCAATATACTATGACTGGTGTAACTGCAGGGGTGAATAATACTGTTATAAGTAAAATATCGCTTTTACATAACCAGTTGGTCGAATAGGCGCAACATGTGTAAGAAACTTAATAGGCCCTATATTGATTTATAATAAGCATTTTATGTGTGCAAACACATAATTTGTAGAAATATTTTAACAATATATGATCAATGTAATAATAAGTACGACATAAACAATATCTGCGAGTACAGTACTGGCCAAATTAATAGCAATTTTTTTTCTAAAAACGTTGCAGAATTAACTCACTAAATTTGAAGTATGGATAAAATCATACACCGTGAATATATTGAATTAAATATTTTTACACATAACCATATTGACATCTACTTCACATTGCATGGTTGGTCGAGGTAATTGATGACGTCATGACGTCGTAGCGGCTGATGACATCATCGACGTCCGTCATGTTGTTTTTTTGCCGTTTTTGAAATACGGTTATTAGGGAATTCTCTAATACAAGAACATCAGTTACGTTTTGGAGAGAATACAGGACAAGCACACTCAAAAAACAATGATTCCAATGGTCGTGCATGACGTCATTACGACTGTGTGACGTCACAATGACGTCATCTCGCCGAAACAGGGGTTTTACGCCAAAACGCTTCAACTTGACTGATTTCCATGTTTTTGGTGTTTATTTATATCTTTTCTTGGGCGCCGAATCGAACTACGGCTTTTAAAATGTTCAGAAATCGACGTAAATTGATTTTTTCAACGATAGTTGATATACAACGATGAGCACATGAGCGAGTAGACTGTGGGGAAAGTTACGACAACTCATTTCCAGGCGCCATTTTGGGTCCCAATTATGAGGCCATAAAAGCTATGATGTCATGGCTTCATATAGGTTTACATACCAAAATTTTTTTTTTCTTGCAGTATTAGGCGTTGAGGGATAATATAACGTTTTACCCTAAAAAAATGCAAAAGAAACCAATGCAGTTTGGTTCAGTGATAAATATATCAAACAAAATCATACCCAAAATCGGGGAATTTTCTGAGAGCGATATCTCGTAATCAGTGTGTTTTACTCTTTACTCATTGGATTATAAATGATTTCTTTTTAAATTCATCAAATACAGAGTGGTTATGCAAGCGAAATGTGCCGAAAAATCGAATTTGACAAACATCAATTAAAAAAAAGAAGTATTTTTTATATGGTGCCGGGCGTTTCTTTCATAATGGCCGCCAAATTTGGTAATATTATTATTATTATTATTACAGCATATTTATAGCGCGCCCTTTCATAAAACATGTTCAGGGGCACTTTACAAAGTGACAATGTAATCATAAATAAACAACAAGATTATGGACATGTTAACAATTGTATACAGAGTCAGTTAAAAGCCTCATTAAATACATGTGATTTAAGTTGTTTTTTAAAAGAATATGAGATGTACAACATCTTAAGCTAAATGGTAGATTATCCCATAAAACAGGTGCTTGATAACTAAAAGAGACTAGTTGAACAGTTTGGGGCTTTAAAAGTAGTTTATCTGATGTACGTAATGTTCGACCATTATATCGTGGTTATGTACGCGAAATGTGCGGAAATCGAATTTGACAAACATCAATTAAAGAAATGTATTTTCCATGTGGTGTCGGGCATTTCTTTTAAAATGGCTGCCGAATTTGGTAATATAAGGCAATTTAACAAAAAAACCCATAAATTTGGTAGACTAAAAGGGCATCTCTTAAGATACGTAAGATATGATTTTTGCTATGTCCTTCATATGGTTTTCGATGTCTCTGAATTTGAAGATAAACACAAAAGATAGCAGCAACACAAATTGGCAGATATTAAATCAATCGTCATTTTTCCTGTTGGATATTAGATAGTGTCTCTAAAGTATGATGTACACTGTAGTATGATGTACACTGTAGTTCAGATACAGTCTCCAAACCGTGTTTACACTGACTGTAGTTTGGGTGTAGTTCGTCAAATGAAGATGAATTTTACGATATATCCATCCTGAAATAACAAAAAAATGAATATATTGTAAACGCGCTTTAAATATCTGGATGCGATAGACTTCGTGATAAAAAATGCAAGGTACACATTGGCAATAATAAGATCCAATTTTAGTTTTTAGTTACACACTGTTAACCACCAATAGATGTTTTAATGACAATAAATCCTAAAATGTATTCAGATCGACGTAATACTTAAATATAGATACAGTTGGTTTAACTTGAATAGAGATTTTAATTATCTATGCTGCATATATGCATATATCACCTTGCAGCTGAATCACATTACATATCTTTTTAGTTCATGTTCATATCGTCTTACGTATTTGTCAACATCAAGGTGAACTTGCTCTATTGTCCGATTAGCCTATTCAGACTTGTTACCACGAATTTACTCACCCCACCCTCGCATAGTTATGAATTTATTGTTTCACTTGACTAAAGAAACATTTTGTAGGAATGTATGCTTTTATAGATTGGACACTTGTTTGCGATATCATTGTCGGTGGAAACTGGCACTATACCTAAAGAATGATTGAACAAATAGCGGAGACGGGGTTTCAGCCGGCTGATTTAAATTATTTCTTTAAATACAGTAAAGCTTGAAATATGTCAGTTTTCACTCTTTAGAATGTTTTTGTAAATAAGTTTTTATTGTAGTTTCCGTGGCGTATTCTCAATAAGCGTTTGAAACAAAGATATACAACCTTAATCCCGGTGCCGATAAATGTTGGGTTGTGTGGAACATGCTAACAAATCTCAGGTACGATATATGTTTGATTCTGGTTGAGAACAGCATGAGAGCAACATGATTGTTTTCATAGGAGATGAGACGCAAATATTCAAAGAGGTCAGACAAACTCTAAACCAACCGCGTTCTCTTTACTGAGTCCCTTCAAAGGAGGCCCCGTCTAACCTGTGGAATAACATGCATTTGTATCTGTTAAATTTGTGTGGTAGACAGATTGATATTATTTATATAACGTCTTACCCCAAACAAATTGCAAAAGAAACCATGAAGTTTCTGAGACCGATATTTCGTAATTAGTGTGTTTTAATGGTGGGGGAATAAATAATTTCTTTTTAAACTTTTCAAACACAAACTGGTCATAGAGGCGAAATGTGCCGAAAACCGAATTTGACAAAAATCAAAAAATGTATTTTTCACAAGTATGGCGCCGGGCATTTCTTTCAAAATGACTGTCAAATATAAAATAGCATTTTCCGACAAGACCAGCGATAATCTCGTAAGATGTGACTTTTACTATGTCTATTAAATGGTTTTCGACGTCTCTTCAAGGTCACCGTCTTGAGCCGAAGTCGTGAAACGCACCGTCGGGGGGATTTGTTGGGGCCTCTCTCCCCCAGAAAAAATTCTAGACATTTCAAGTCGGTCTTGCCTGGCCGTGAATACGGCAACCTGAAAGTGGTCGATTTTAATGTAGACATCTGAACTCCAATCAACAAATCAATCAACCAGGCTGTTATTGTCGTTGCATTCTCATGACACCAGACCTGTCACCGATGAAACAAATATGCCTGAAACAAATGTCGCTGTTAGTGCGACCCATTTGTGACAATTTCTAGGTCCCAAATATTAGCGATTTAGCTCCTTTAAAAGCGAATGCAAGTTAAATATGTTTAATAGTACTTTTATCTAGTGTATCTTTTATTTTGATTTTTCTTATAGAATAAGGCTATATAACAATAATGTGCGCTTCTTGTTGTATAATACTAATAATAGTATGTTCAGCTATACTTTTCGTTTAAAAAATGTATGTTTTATGTCCTATAGACACTTATTCGCTGAAATCTATAATAGGTCATATAAATAGATAATAAGTTTGCATGACGTCATATGAAATTCTTGGCTTCACAGTTGTCGCAACTTTGTCTATACACGGCGTTGCGTCGACCAACCATGCAATGCGAAGTAGATGTCAATATGGTTATGTGTAAGAATATTCAGTTCAATATATTGACGGTGTATGATTTTATTCATACTTTAATTTTAGTGAGTTAATTCTGCAACGTTTTTAGAAAAAATTGCTATTAATTTGGCCAGTACTGAAAATATAAAAAGTTCAATAAAAGGGAAATAGTATAAAAGATGAAGAAAATCTTTATTTATTTGATCTAGCCTGCGATTAAGATTTTGTCTCAAAAACTTGAATTATGATTGATTTCTGTTAAACAACAGATTATAAATCTGCAATATTTATTGACAATAATTTTTAAAAATGTCAACATTTTTTGGTTCATGGTATCAATACAATAATGACATGAACAATTCCAACCAAGTCTGGCAATTCATGGAGTTCTGTCCCTTGCCGGAAATCATCAGAAGAATGTGCGTGGAGGTGGAATCAACATCATGCTTAAAATTGTCTAACGAAGAGCGGACACGGTCGACGCTTTCGTGAATAACTGTCTTCGTCTTGTTTGTAATATATATCTATATAACGTATTATCTCATCGGACACGTGTTTATCAAGATAACGCCATTATATTTGAACTTTAACCCCTGTTAACTACAAATGTTACCACTAAGCTTGCTGACGAACACATGGGACAATATTCTTCGACTGATATCAACGCTATTCGGAGTTCCTCGTTTGATCTCATTACGTATACGTTCATTTAATAAGAAAAAAATTATCATGGACTCGGGGATGATAGATGAAAAAAATGTCCGAGCAGAAGGTTTTAAGTGGTGCCAGGATTCTATTGGAGGAATATGGTCAAAAATAGGCCCAGAAGATTTTATTCTAGAAAGAATAAAGTGAGTATACCGACTACCGTAGCTTATGTTTATGTAATATTTGTTTACGAGTCAAATTATCGCTATTGTGGTGCGCGAGAAACATTTCATTCATAAAGCAAGGATAGGTTGTATACTACGGAGTTTAACATTCCTTGTTAACAGCGGTGTTTATTTTGTTTGTGTGCTGTTAGTGTACATACATGTACTAATTAATTATTTATGATGATGTTTGATCCAATTTAATTTGACAGTCAGTCAATATTAGAAATATATAACAGGTCCTTTGAATACACTGTTGCAAAATATCTTATTTGTTTTCAATTATAAGTCATTCATTAGTAGGTAATAAGTATGTGGGACTGAGTCATTTCAGCCGTGATTTGGTCACAGACTGACTCTAGTCTAGTAGTACATTCTACAAATAGGTGCTACTGCATTATTTATTATGTCTGACTTTTCTGTTTTGTTTACTCTCACCATAAATCAATCAATAAATACAGTGTTTACATGCACATACTACAGCAGCCTACTATAACAATGCAGTGATGAAATATACTTCCTCTTTCAAGAATTACAAATAATTTTGTTACAAAATAGTGTGTTCCTATAGGCTACACATACATGTATATTGAGCATAGAATATTAAAATGTTTGAATATTGATTTCCATCCACACAAAAATCTAACGCTTTTGTTGAAGTATTATTTCTTGTCGTCACCCGTGTCAGTACGGTATCGAGACAACTCGAACCGAAGACCAGTTGGACCAAGACCAGTCGGACCAAAACAGAGACCACTCGGACCAACCCAAAAGACCACTTGGGACAATATTTAGCTTTGATACTCAGGCCAACTCAGGTTTTCTTGCCTTAAAGTGAAGCAATTTGACGGAAATTTTCAGCATATTCCCGTTACATCAGCTCTTTATCTAATCTTCCATACTGTACATGTATCTTAATACATACATTATGCATGAGCTAAATCTTCCTATTGCAGGTCATTATAAACTATAAACTTCAAAAGCTGGTTGGTCCTTATGGCCTCTTTCCATATGTTGAATAGCTTGCCTGGTATAGATCCGGTCTGTCTTTTCTGATGTCGTTTTAGCTTTCCTTCCAAAACCATTTTCATCTGTACTAGCAACTGACTGGCCTCCTTGTATTAAAGTGTCAATAGTAAATGAAACTGAAGATTGCCCTTCTTCGCTGTTTGATTGATATGATTATGTCACCCTTCCATATTATTATTTGTCCGTATGGTTAAACCAGACACATACCATGAAGATAGTCTCGTTGAAATAATCTAATACTGATCTAATTTGGTCATTGTCAGTCTTTTCTTCCAATTTCTGGAATGAGGGCAGGATGTCTCTATACAACAAAAAAAATTATTAATACTATTAATTAAATTTTGACAAATGATAATGGAATATACATTTTAAGCATTTATATACAATATTGGCACTTGGACATTACTCCAATCACACCAGTTAAAATTTAATTGTTTTTCTTTGATGTGCTTCATCAATTTGATTAGCTTGTAACAGGAGCGAGTACATTTACTTATGAATTAATCACTACTTAGTTATCAATGTTTTGTTAATTGATTTTCTTTGATGTGCTTCATGATGAAAAAAATACCACGGGTAAATACAGCATAAAAATTATTATCAATTTATGAAAACAACACTTTATTATTGGTCCGAGTAGTCATATTAAAACAAACACAATTATTAATTTATTAAAAAAAACCACTTTATTATTGGTCAGAGTGGTCTTGGTCCGAGTTGTCATGGATTCATCAGTCGGTCAGCATGACCACTATTGTATTAGTAAGTATATGTACAGGAGGACTGCACTTCATGCAAAACAAAACTGACAAAACAAACATACCGACAAGAAAAACTACATAGACATTGCAAGACATATATAACAAATATCAAATCAAGTGAATGGGTCCGGGAGCCAGACGCATACTGTTTGGCCTTTCAGATTATTGCTTTTGACGGGAAACAAGGTTCAAGCTTGACTGTAATTGAAAATCCTTCTGTGGCTGTATGTGTCCGAGAGCATGTTTGTAAGAATAAAATTAATATTGTGATTCCTCCACAGATCTCATCAGGTGGCGCTAATGTAAATTTATACTTTAAAAAATTATGAATTTATTAATATTTTATTGACAATCATTTCTCTAGTAATGTATTTCTGTGTTTTTACTTTTTAGTGTATAAATTAAATGTCCATTTCTATACTCTTTTATGATTTAAAGTATGATTTTAGTATATATTTTATAATCATCTATTATTAATAATATTTTGGTTGAATTTGAGATATATAATCTTATTTCACACTTTTTATAGTGTTTCATCCAGTAGTTAGTAGTTTATACTGGTATGTGCTGGTATGATACTGGTAAACAGTTTACCCAGGTTGTAATGATCAATTGGCACTCAGACAATAAATAAAAACTGGAATGTGGTAAGAACATTCCCCATTGCCGCTGACTGTACATGTATGTGACATTTTTTTAAAAGATAAATGATAGTTAGTAATAGGTGTAGTTAGTTGCCATATGCAAAATCTCAGCAATGATAACCGCTTTAACAGAATTGTACTACACTGTATAACTTTCAGAATTATATATCTTTGAAGGCTTGTTTGCAAGAAGCATAGCTATTAACATTTGTTTTTCATTGAACTCGTACACTTAGAATATAACATCTATATTTGAATAAAACACCCTCGCTTTATTTAAACTTTCATTTTTTTGAATAGAATCCTCTTATTGTCTTAGATAATATAACGGGAAAGTGGTACACATACATGTACTAGATTTAACATTCCCAGATTAATTAAGTTGAACAAGACCAAAAAATTAGCTGAACTATAGAGTGTTTCCAAAGAAAATGTTTGATTCAAGGTAGTAGCACAGGTGCCTGTAACATGGAAAATATTTCAAAAATAACATTAAGCTATGACTATATTGACCTAGCTTATTTTATGATGACTTTGTTGTATTTCTAGTTGACTAGACCTAGAATGTATTTGTAGTTGACTAGGCCTACTACATGTACATGTAGAATGTATTTGTAGGTGACTGGGTATTTGTTTTGACTAGACCTACATGTAGAACGTATTTATATTCAGTAGGACGTTTTATTCGAATGTATTTATAGGTCAGTGACCTACATGTACAATGCATTTGTAGGTGACTAGGCCTAGAATGTTTTTATAGTTGACTTGACCAACATGTATAATGTATTAGAGGTGACTAGGCCTAGAATGTACATGTATTTGTAGGTGACTAGGCCTAGAACGTTTTTATAGTTGACTTGACCAACATGTATAATGTATTAGAGGTGACTAGGCCTAGAATGTACATGTATTTGTAGTTGATTCGAACAAGAATGTATTTGACAAGACTTAGAATATATTTGTAGTTGACTAGACCTAGAATGTAGTTGTATCTGACTAAACATAGAATGTATTTAAGGGGACTACACCTAGAATGTATGTGCAGTTGACTAGGCCTAGAATGTATTTGTAGTTGATTAGGCCTACAATGTATATATTTACTTCATATATGTACGGTAGACCTGCCTTTGAAGAAGTCCAGACAGACATTGACTATCTTCTCTTTTCCATTGAGTTTTCTTCACCTTTTATTTAACTACTGAATTCAAAGTAGTGTCATGTGAAGTGGAATTCAAACCAGTATTTTAATTAAACAGATTGAAACACTGTCATGTCTAGTATCCGAATGTCATGTGTCTTAGAAAAGACAACATTTTTATTAGTAAAATTGCATACACCTAGGAGAGAGGAAACAAAAACACAAACTGTATATTGAAACATTTTATTTTTAGAATCATAGACGCCTTCCAGAGAGTTATTTATGTAATATTTATGCAAGTGGTTGTTTACGAGGGCTTATGAATTAATTTCAACATAATCCATGTCATAATTTTAAAGATTTTCTTTTTAGATATGAATTGTGTCAGATCTGGTATGTTTTCTAAGCATCAAGTAGAAGTAAATTATAGAATTGAATCATTAAGAAAACACACAATCTCACAAGACTTTTTCTCTCCTGAGGTATTGTTTAATCAAAGTCAATGATAATAAAAAAGGGAAATAAAGTTATAAATTATGCAGTGTTTCTAATCAAAGTTTCATGATAGTTCTGATCTCCCCAAGATTATCTGATGTGTGAATTTGAAATAAACACATCATTGCTGCTAATGAACGGCAGACACAAAGAACTGGTGTAATAATAAATGTTGGAAAACATGTTCCAGATCAATGACCTGAAAAAAGAACAGTTGCTTTATTTAACTTTTCCGCTAGTTTATCGTTCACTAAAGTTAAAAAAAACTTGATCCAATGTTAGATAGCTTGGTTTATTTTTTTTATCAGGTTTGAACTACCATTTATTATCTATTTGGACCAAAGTGTGCAGATGCAACATATCATTATCCATGTGGAGGATTTCTAGACATAAGAAATATGCCGACACAAGTCGTGTTCATATTTGAGAAGGCATGTATAATGTATCCGTTAGCAAACCTCAGTGCCGAGGTCCTTTGTTAACATTAGGACTTATGTGGGGTTAAATATGCTTGAATAAAACAAGTGCCATCATATTTTCCATGTGAATGCAAATAATTTGGTTTTGCTTGGTAAAACTTTGACCAAAATGGACATCTAGTCGAACGTATGGAAAACAATTCTGTCGCAAGTGTACTAATACATGCATGAATACTTTCAGCACTATAGAATTCTGACAATTTCAAATCTATATAAGTGAATTATCAAAGATTCCATTTTAATTCCTGGTTAGCAATTAGAAATAGACAGTATTAATCTGTCAGTTAATTTAACTTATGAAAGACTGGTAAGTAAGTGATGGATCTGTTATGTTGTGTTTTGTAGTGGGTGGGGGTGGCCGAATGGTTAGTGCATGCCCAGTTGTACGTGACAAGGGAGTAGGGTCGCCAGTCCAACCTTTGGGTTTTCTCCG